GCCCTGGGGAGCGCCTCCGCCGCCGGCCGCGCCCCGGCTCCCGGCTGGGGCCTGTGGGCCTTCAGGTCACTGGCAGCCAGAGGGCTGGCGTCCAGCCCCGCACTCACGGGGGCTTTGCCCGGGCCCGGGGGGCCCGGCCTCACTTTCTCCGACGGCAGGGACTTGGGCTGCGCGGGGAAGGCAAGCTTGGCCTTGGGCTTCTGGAAACTCAGCAAGGGAGGCACATCTTTCCCCAGTAAAGCCGGGGGGCACCCGGTCCGTCTACTTCTGAGCAGAGACTTGCTTCTACAGTTTTTGTGAATGTCGGGGTTGTATTTGTGCTCCAGTCTCTGGTGCATCATTAAAACCTCCGGATAGAATGTCTTGAAGGTACAAAATGGGCAAGTGATGCTTGGGATTAAACTTTTACTCAAAGAAATTGCTGGGCAACTGTGAAGAGCCCCCAGGGACAAATTTAAAGGCTTTTCTTGACAGTCCGCGCTGGGCTTGTACTTGCAGTCCGCTGCCATCTCCACTTTCTTCTCTTTGTGGCCAACGTCAACATTTTGGGGGGCACTGCTGTCTGCGTGTGGAGTAACACCCACTTCTTCTCTACGGAGAAGGTTATTTGCCTGAGGTTCAACTGCTGATTTCTTTTTTAACACGTCCAAGTAAGCAGGGGCTGGAGTTTTGCTCATTCTGTCAGCACTGTCATCGGTTGCATTTTTATGGAAATCCTGAGTATCTTTGTGGACTGGCGAGAGGACAGCGCTGCCCAGAACATTCTGAAAGGCAGGGGCCATCCCCTTAAGTTGCTTTGCCGGTGGGCTGCCTTTAACATCTTTGGCACCATCAAAAAATCTTTTCAAATTTTTGGTCTGCGCACTGTCAGCGGTTAGCAGTGCCTCTTCGGTCTCCTGGTTCTTCCCCTCATTCTTGACTTCGCTGGCGATATCCATGTGCTTGTCCTTGTGATGTCTCTCCAGGTGATACCGCAGAGAGGTCTTCTGGGCTGCAGCATAGTCACAAAATTCACATTTGTATGGTTTTTCGCCTAAAACAAGAAATGTCACTACTTTACACAAGTTTTTGAAAAGCATCAAAATAGATCTTTGGAAACTAAAAGAATCTGAGAGAGAGAGAATACAGGACTCTCTTTTCCCATCTCTATCTACTAATCTTCACATCTGGGATTACCCATGAGTTCTCTGCTTTACCACCCAAACTATATGAATATGTGAAAATGTGAATACGTCTTTAATTAAAAAAATAAAGGTGCATACTTCAGACTTATCTCATTTAATCTTCATAACAGCCCTGTAGAAGTGAATATCATGATCCCACTTTTATAGCTAAGAAAACTAAGGTGCCAAAAGGTTAAATGACCTGCCCAACGTTGCACAGCTAGTGAGCGGAAGAGATGAAATTCAAGTCTACACAGCCTCCTAAACCACTATGTACATTCCAGCTGCTTCTACAATCCAAGGAAAAGACTACTAGATATATTCTCATTTCATTCTAAATCACAAAAGTTCATACAAAAAAGCTGTGGCATTAAAAAATATTAAAGAGGTTTTAATAAGATGAGTCAGGATACAGAATACAGGAACTAAATAAGAAACTAACTTCAAAACATGAACAGTTCACATTACAATGACACTGAAAGAATTAAAATGACAGCTGCAATCTGCACACTACACATTTATTCTTAAACTCTTCCAAGGACTTAGCAGAATATTTGAACAAAAAAAATAATCAGACACGGACTACATCATAATTCTTTGAACTAATACATGCTTTTAAAGAAAACTAAGTTCCTTACCTGTATGCGTTCTGAGATGAATATTGAGGTAATAATTTGAACGGAAAAACTTTCCACAATAACTACATTCTCTTGAGGATGTAAGATGCTTTATTTTTCCTCCATCATCATTTTTATCTTAAAGCAGAAACAAAAACATTTATGTAAGACAGCTCAAGTACATGAACCAGGCGAGTTAACTTAAATATTCTTGATAGAAGCATTTTTGGAAAGCACAAAATAATTTTTATATTAGTGTTGGGGTAAACTAAAAAGGCCAAAAACACACCAAATGTTGTTTTGAGATTGAAGTTTTATAATATGCGTGCATTTTTTTTTCCCTGAGTATAGCAGAATTTGCTGTTAAAGATTCAGTTCTTTGCCTTAATCACAAGAGAAGATGATTTAATAGGGTGAAATGCATGGGTGGCTTTCTGTTCTCCCAACATGTCTGAGATGAGCAGGATCTGGCAAACTGAGCTGGACTTGCATATGCTGGCTGGAATAACCAGCTTCTTCAGAAGAAGTCATTTGGAAAACAGAGCCAACATAAATCGCCAATTTTCCCAACCACCAGGGAAAAATACGTTTTTTATCTCAAGATCAGACAAGTTACCACTAGAGGGTAGCAAGCACAACTTAATCTTCACAGAAAAGAAGTCTGGCATTGGGCAATCACCTAGGAAAGTTTGTCAAAATTCAGCAACGTTTCAGAAAGCAGATCGTACTGTCCACAGACACTCACATGGGCAAAATATATCTGACAAACCAAAATCTGTCCCCAAATGACTATGCGTTGAACTTGAAACTTCCATCTCCACAGGATGATCAGGTCAGTGTATCTTGTGTGCAACAGAGTAAAGGTCCATTAGGACACTAATTAAAGGATGATGATGCCTCAACCACCAGCCTCCAAAAGACAATTAGATCTGCTACAGTTAAGATACCCGCTCCCCCAAAACGAGTACTTAAGTTCTAGATAAACTTCCTCTTATCCTATTACATACGTTACAGTATGACCACAACAGAAGTCAGGTCATCTCTCAAAATTCAGCGTAACTCAACTGGTCATTTTGCCTTGAAGACTGTTAGTTCCACCTAAAAGGCCTCTTCCCCTGCTCCTTCCACATTTTTCATTCCAGATTATTTATAGCTTACTGATTTTAAAAAGCAGTTTACACGAAAACCTCGGTGAGCCTCCAGGGACAACAGAGACAGACTGCACATTCTCTCACCCTAAACGAAAATGTATCCACCTCTACACCTCCAGACATTCTAAAACAGCAGGAACAACCTTTGACCTAAAAAGGTATCATGAAGACTTGAAAAAATAATTTACATGAACAACTATTACTAAACCTTTATTTATAAAAGTTGAAAATAAAATATACTATTTACTTTGCTTTTTGATCTTCTTAAAAGTCAATCTGAAAAAGCCAGGTTGATAATAAATAACACTAAGGTACATCTAGACTAGAAGAGCATATCATAATATAAATTTAGGAAAATCAATTCCCTAAACATAGAAAGCCCAGCTTTCTGACAGTCACACCCAACTAGCTAGTTCATAGCTGGGCTTGCACCTTATTGCAATTCCCTACTTCCAGCTATGTGTCAGGACTTATGGTATGTTGCATCACATCCAAAAAGTTGTGAAATGTCTTTGTTTTAACACAAAGGCCATGAAATGTCCACATCTACCTGGTTCCTGCTTCTTCAGCATCACCTTTGACTTTACAGTGCTGTTCTTTAAAAGACTGCAAACCTTTCATAAGTAGGCTATTGAAATGATCCTTGAGGGGTGGAAGACAAGGGTCGTGAACCAATTTTGCAAACAGGGAAATCAGGGCAAAGAAAGGTTAAGCAACATGTAATCAACAACACAGTGGTAGAACCAGACTAAACCCAAGACGTGGTGCTCCCAGCCATTACCAGGTATTCTACGTGCCTGACGACCAAGTCTTCTGCCCACACCACCCAGTGGCAGAATGCGAGTGGCCATTTCATTTCTTTGAGGGTACTGGGGCATCTCCCAGGCCTAATTATCTCCCCATTACTGCACACCCCTGAACAGTACTGACACTAATAGGAATCACTTATAGAAGACTAGAGGTCTGTGTTTAAAGCCTTTTTTATGATGTCATTAAGACACCATAATGTATTTTCTAGATTTCTGAAAACTGAAGATTGTAGTTCACTAAGTGCTAAGTTTCCTGTGTCCCAGGAAACATTCTAAATATTTGAAACGAAAACTACTGCTCTCACATCCATCACATGATCAGAAAAAGAACTGGGCACTGGCTTAAGAAGACGAAGAGTCCAACATGTTATCTGGTCAAATTCATCTTGGGCCTCACACACAGAGTTCTCAGAAGACATCAACAATCAAGTTACAATGAAAGGAGAAGTGTTTCAACCGAAGACCACATTTGTAAATGATAACATTTCTCTAAGACTAATTCACGTTCTCATCTTTCACTTGTTGATGATGCGAGGGTTTTTTAACTGTTTTCAAGCAGCAAAATCCTTTATTCAAACAAAATATTAAATAGACATGAGAAGCTCTGGTTGAAGTGAGGGTGGGCAAGACTTGGCCCACAGGTGGAATCCTTTGCCCTAGATGATGCCCACTGGGACTCAAGAAATAATATGTCAGTAAGCTTTCATGACGGTTTCCGTCTCCTATAAATGCCATTAGTACCTTAAAAATTTGACTGAGCAAATGAGATTTCTTAACATCTTTGGTGTGTTCACATTCCCTGTGTCTCACAAAAAAATTCAGTTACTGAGCTAACTGTTAATGAATACTAGTCCCACAGACATTGAGGAGAGGGAACCAGGTAGCACCAAAGGGTTTCTCTAACAGTAACAGTCTTGCTCTGGTTGATAATCACTCCCAGTACCTTTTGTGACCACTAGAAATCCATTTGGAATAAATGTACGAGAGCTAGGCCTTGACAGAAAGGGCAGCTCATTGCATAGAAGGATAACTTGTTTTTATAGACAAGATCAGGAAGGCCAGAAAAACTTAAGCGAAGGCCAGGGTCTCTCAAGCTTGACACTACTGACACTGTGGCCAGATAATTCTCTGTTGTGGGGCTGTCCTGTGCATTGTAGGGTGTTTAGCAGCATCCCTGGCCTCTACCCACTGGGTGCCAACAGCACACACAGCAACACAATCGTGACAACCAAAAACATCTCCGGACATTGCCCGATGTCCACTGGGGGAAAATCGCCCCAGTTAAGAAGCGCTGCTTTAGGCTGATGCGCAAGTTAAAATAACGTGTATCCTCAAGGAGCCAAGGGGTGCATTTATATGGTGACTGACAAATAATAACGTACAACTGAAATTTCACAATGTTATATACTATTATGACCTCAATAAGATAAGTAAATAGATAAAATAATGAGTGTCCTTTGTTAGCAAAATATAAAATCACAAAATTTTCAGAACAGGAAGAAACCTTGGTTGGCCTTTTAACTCAATCCTATTGTTACAGAAACGAGAAAATTAAGCCCTAAGAGGTTAAGTGACTTACAACAGGGTGGTACCAAAAAGCTTGGGCTCAAGCCCAGCTCTCCAGAGCCCCTCAACCTGCCAGCGTTCTCTGGGATGAGAACACAAGAGGGAACAGCATGCAACGGAGCAGCTTACCCAAATGGAGCCCTTCTGGAAGTCCATCCTCAGATCCGTCTTCAGAACCACCTTCACGATCGATGGCTCCATTTTCATCCAGGGTGGTGGTTAGGTCTGGAGAACACGTCCTAGGCTGCCTTCCATCGACTGACATGGTTGGTGATTCGGCATCCGTCCTCCTGTCTTTCTTGTGTACTCTTGAGTGCAGGACCAGCTGGTGGTAGGTTCTGAAAGCTTTGCCACATTCAAAGCAATGCGTGGGCTTCTCTTTGTTACTAGATAACTTGGGGTCTGCATCCATGGAAGGCACTTCACCGTTGGAGTGTCTAGGCTTCTCCTTATCTTGTGAGAGGCCTGTACAACCACTTTTACTTGTTTTGGACTTTCCAGAACCTTCAGAATGGCTTTTACTCGAGTTCCAAATTTCGACGAGCTCTTCTTTTTCTGAACATGAATCGTCATTGTCAGTGCTTCCTTCCTGCCCGGGTTGTTCCTTCACTTCTCGGCAAACGGCAACTTTTCCTTTGGTAGCCAGCTGCCAAGCCTGATAGGTGGTGAATGGATCGAGCTGAGGTATCCATTTTGCGGGCTTCTTCATGGTTTCGGGGTGAGATTTTGGTCTTAAGTTAAAAAACTGCAGGAACTCTTCCCCCGGAGATGGCATTCCCTCCTGCTGAGAGTCTGTTTGTGTGTTGCTGGTACCGGAAGCAGTTTCTTTGGTGTGCATCTTCCTGTGATCAATTAGACTTTCTTTATTTGGAAATAGGAAGCCACAAACCATGCAGATTTTGTAAGGCGATGAGATGCTCTCGGCTGCATGTTCCTGTACGACCTCGTTGATTGTGACTGGACTCTCCAAGCCCTGCTGCAGTTTGCCCTTGGCCCCCGATTTGCCAGTATGTGTTCGCATGTGATTTTTAAGAAACCACGGCTCCTTGAACCTTCTTCCACACACGTTACACCCGTAAGTGAAAGAGTCCTTATGTTTCTTCATGTGGATCTCAACATCAAAAGCAACTCTAAATGTCTGCCCACATACTTCACAGCTAAATTCTTCATTTTCTTTGCAATTATTCTCCTTTGGCGCTTCTGTTCTCACTTGACTTTTATCAAGAGGACTAAGATACTCTGCTTCAACACGCAAAACTGCTGGTTCACAAAGGATAGGCCGATGCTGCATTAAGACATGTTTATTGAGGTCTTCTGAATGTGTGAAGGTCTGATTGCAAAACATGCAGTCCAAGGGCATATACCCTTCTATCTGGATTATATTTTTCTCTTGGGTAGCTCTGAAAGGAACAGTGGCACTCGCTTTTATTGACATGGCATCATCAATCTCCATTTGGGTGCCAAGAGAATTGCCAATAACTTCTGGTCCGTCCATATACACCAAGAGGGACTGAGTTGGCATGTTGCCTGTCACGTTAGGATTGTATACAAAATAAGAATCCGGCTGAGGAATTTCTGGAGTTGGAATAAGGCCACTTGTAAGACTTGTCACTCACACTCCCAGCAGCCCTGGGCTTCAAAACTAGAGCAAATATTTGCTATAAAAGTTCAAAAGAAAGTGTATATTCCTCTAACTTCTTATCTTCAGAAGTCTTAGGAAGCTCAGTGGGAGAGATGATCACTGGTTCTCTCCACAAACAAGGCAGACAGACTCCTCAATGCTTTGATTCAAATATGAGTCAGCACAAAGCCTTAGTTCTCTTTGTCTCCATTGAGTGAGTGACTCAGTTGAGCAAGAAGTCAATTCCAGCAACCTGGAGACAAGAGATTTCCAAAACCTAGAGGAAAAAAAATAGCAACGGTTAGCTACAGTCAGAGAACAGAGAAGGCCGGTGTGGATGACTCACAGTGGTCTTTTCCATGGAGCAGAGAAGGAACTTAATCCAACGGCTTCACTTTTAACTAACAGAGTGCTTCCTGTTAAACATGCTTGTTAATTAAATCATTAGCATTTTATCCAATCAGTACACTTATCCAATCGCTAGAATTTCATCCAGTTAAGAAACAAAACAAAAACCAGTGCTTCAATGATTTAAATCTAAAATGTAAAGTTTCAGGACAGAAATTGTTCAATTCAGCTGAATATGTTTTAAGCCACTAAAATGCACGTGTATCCTTATAAACAGCCAGAGCTTCAAATTGTCTTATATACAAACAAACACACAAGAAACGCAAATGCCTAAAAGCACACTCAAATATTACACACACACAGGTCAACAACATAAGCACACAAAAACAGGAACCTTTCCTCATTCAGGAAATACAGAATACCTCAGAACGGGAGCTCAGCTTGGCCAAGGGGAACCCTGATATACACTGGTTCACTGGATATTCTAAACCTCCACCCACTGCCCAAATTCCAGTTTTCTTTTAACAACTTTCTGCCTTCGACAAACGTTGGGTAGGGCTTCCTTGTCTAAGCAATAAATAAGGAAGTATAGACACAAAGCTACTTTGTGAATACACTCATCTAAAATAAAATCCACAACACAGCTGATTCAACATGGCTTAGTCTTTAATCAGAAAATGGACCCTCTCATTTTTTAATCCACCTTTCACACTATGCCTTGGCCAGGTGAAAAATGGATTACTTTACTTAGCTCTGCAGGCTCTGAATTAGAAGCTAATTTTCACTCTTGGAGAAGAATTAACCTCTGAAGGCAATACCCTCCAGCTTTATGGCAAGCCTAGGAATTGTTTTTAAACAGTCCCAACTACTTTAACTGAAGTCAGTTAATTCCAGCCAAGAAAACAAAAAGACATGCAAACTACTCCCATCACAGTCAACGTTAAAAAACACACACCACTTTACTTTCCTTCTCTCCACTTCCTCAAAGAGCAAGAGCCTGCAGGCTCAGAGAAGAGGAGGAAACATTTTCTTCCCCTTCTTTAAACTCACAAAAAAAATTCTCATACTACTTCTTATCTTTTGAAAAACTAGATCTTTAAGCTTTTCTAAATAAAACTGCAGATCAAAGATTAGGGTAAAGAAAGAATGTACTGAAGTGTTTTATCTTAATTTCTTAGTCTTTTGTTGCAGTCACAATGGAGGATAAACACATGGGCTGCCTACCAGCTTGGTGGGATATAACAGAACACTCGAGAGACCTGAGTTCTAGTCCTAGCTGCGTCACAACCTTAAAGTCACCACCACATGGCGCAGCTGTTAAGTGCACACACTCCGCTGCCATGGCCCGGGGTTTGGATCCCGGGCGTGCACCGACGCACTGTTTGTCAGGCTGTGCTGTGGTGGCGTCCCATGTAAAGTAGAGGAAGATGGGCACGGATGTTAGCTCAGGGCCAGTCTTCCTCAGTGGAAAAAAAAAAAAAAAAAAGGAGGATTGGTATCATATGTTAGCTCAGGGCTGATCTTCCTCACAAAAAAGAAAAAATAAAAAAATAAAGTCACCACCACATACCTCATCTTTCTCTGTCTCAATGCAGACAGTTAAATTACAGCATCACCCTCAGAGTTCCAAAATTCTATGGTTCTGGGGGTACATTTACGGATAGACACTCAAAAGAATATTTAAGGACTATGCTAAGATATTAAATGATATTTGGATATGTGACTGATAATTTAAGTTCCTATGTAGTCATTCACTCATTCAACAAATATTTATTGAATGCCAGTGTCTTGAGTAATATTTTAACTGAAGAAATTAACAGCAAATATTCTAGAAAAGCAGTTATCCAACTCTGACAGCACTGTTTTCACTGGCCAACAGCTAAACGAGGAATAGAGCAACAACTCAATGAGTTCTACACAAAGCCACATGGATTAATTTCAATTTGCATAAAAATTGTCCTTCATTTGAGGTCCTTTCTACTTTTTGGTGCCAAAATATCCTTTTTAAAAAAGGAAAGAGTAGCAATAGCAAATAGTATATTTGAGGTTTTTTTTAATGTCCTGATTTGGCAAAATCAAAGTTAGTCCCCTACATCAGACCTCAACATTATTATTTTTTTTTTCTTAGAAATTTGACTAGTTTGCGACATTTTTAAATTTGGAGGAACTCCACTTTTCTAGAAATAATCTTTCCCACAAAAACGCTAACCCTAAACTCAATCTCTGGATTAGAAACATGATGTGGGTACATCCCTATTATTTCCCACCCCGGGGAAACAACATGTACTGGAAATGCCTGTCTTAGAAAGAGTTTAGCTTCAATTTTTATCTGTGAAATGTTCAAATCTCTGGGTTAAGTCATCATCAGATTCTAACCCAAGACCCAAAGGACTGGGAAAGGAGGCACAGTGGAAAATCACCTTAGGAGAACGAAGAGCTTTGGTTTTGCCCAGGAGGGTGAACAGGATGGAGGCCTGAAGATGAAGAGAGGGATGTCGCAGGCCAGGGAGTCTTCCTGTGTGGTCAGATGGGGAAGAAGACCCTCCCAGGCAAAACTGAAGCACTTCTTCCTCCAGGGAAGCTTCTGGGACAGATTCTGGTCATCATCAACTGTGCCCAACTGTCCTGGGCACTACACTACCTTGGGTCACAGCACTCATTACTACTCATCCAAAAGACATGAAAACCCTAGCCAGATCCTAGGAGCAGAGACCCTGTCAGCCTTGTTCACCACTGCCCCCCAGTGCCTAAAGGGGTCCCTAGCACAGGGCAGGCCCTCAGTCAACCCCTGGTGAATAAATGCACAAATACTACACAGTCAGTACAGGTGTAGAATCTGCAGGCATATCTCTGGCCTCAGTCACCAAATGTAACTGATCTGACATTAAAATTAACTTGGATGTTCATCAAAACTTCTACAGGGCTATCTATGGCTGCCATCTAATTACCATTCTCTGCACTTTCAAGAGTGTAATAAAAAAATGAATCATATTTAATCATACCATAAAGGTGACCAGCACAGGCAAAACTGCATCACTTGGATTTATCACCACTCTCCTTATTGACCCAACAAAACAAAAATGCGGCTAGGAAATCTGATAGCAACGCCCTCAACTTTTGCCTTAGAAACTAGAATGGATGTAGACTAAAGACTTCCTTACACTATAAATCAATTATCTACATTGCTTAAAAACACTCTGCTAAACAAATACCAAAAATCTTGAGAGTGATTGTAATAATATTTTAATAACAGAACTTATGAAAAATAGACATTCTAATCTAATTACTGATAATAACGAGTCACAATTCCAATCCAGTGAAGTGTGTGGACACATACGCAGCCTTCCCAGAACCTTCAGCTTCCTAAACGCAGTGCCCACAAGGCCAACAGGACACCCATGGCACCGCTGGTAAAGTAAATTTTCTGTCTTGACAAAGAACTGGAGGGGGAAGGAGGAGGACATGATAATCCAACACCTACTGGCTAAGTGCTTTTAGTTTGCAGAAAAGTGAGCCTTCTGAACACACTAAGTTTACTGAAAGGCACTTTGCAAAAGTGTTTTTCGATGTTTAAAAAACAATTAAACCTTTACTCAGGTAGATGACAGCAATTAACCTTCAGCCATACACCCCAAGGCACCTAAGGCAAGAGGTTATTCAGTATAACTTTATATTTTGAGAGAATACTAGGGCTTAATTTATATTGTGATTACTTTAAGTAGAGACTTTGTTTTTTTTTAATTTATCACAACATAATCTTTGGGGGAAAAAAGTAGAAACCATATTGCTATAACTGTCTGAAGTGTAAGTCCAACGTTCTTTAGGTCATTTCTTGTTTTTGAAAAACAGTAGACGTTCATTTGCGAGTCAAGCTACTGTGAATTCTGCCACTACCTGTAGATCTTGAAATTAGCGAATATCACACATTTTACAATGCTTCATAAAAAGCACAACAGTTTGTGCTTGAGCACATCAAATTAGAGGCAAACGCCACCTTGCTGACAGCTGTGGTGACCTGCAAATACAGTTCTTTATGTACAGATGTACTCAAACTGTTACCCTTTAGAGACAGCACATCTCTACTTAGCTGAACAGGTTATCTTACGTCTCTTGATATGGAATATTTATTACCACAGTATGGAGCAATAAAGTATTCAAAGTCCTCCAAAACTGTCAAAAACTCATAAAAATTCTATTTATAGCCAAGTAATTTGCAGTATTCCTGCAAATCTACTTTTTCCCCTAAGTTACTTAAGTGTCCAAATAAATGATCATTAAAACATTCAACCTAAACTGCTAGTCTCTGGCCGACTCATTTGTATCCTTTAAACTGCAAAATTATCTCCAAGATCTGGTTATGAAACTTAACAGTTTTTCTATAAATTTTCCTTCTATAGTTTACACAGACTATTTTTTTCTTCATCTGACAAGTGAAGAGAACTGGACAAAGTCATCTATAGCAGCAATCAATCAACACCTGTAACTTTAGACCCTTCAGCACGATTTCAAGGAAAGCACCAAGCTCAGATCCAGGAGCTAAATGGTCAAGCCCAGTTTCCTAATGTAGCTGAGGATGCCTAAAAGCGAAAGACAAAGACTCAAATAGTCAAAGTTCATAGTCGACATTACAACCTAACCTATTCAAAAGCAAGTGACTGTTCAAAGGCAGAGTTGGGGAAGATCCTACAGGACACTCTCATTTTCTTGAAACTGTATGTAAGTGTGAGCTCAGTTCTACGCAGGATTCAAGTACCATAAAAATATAATCATATTAGCATATTTGAGTGTCATGATCAAAAACTTAGCCTGATTCATTCCAGATCAGTTGAGGCCAGTTAAAGGATCTTAGTTTGAACTTAAAGCACCACATATTAGTTTTAGTTTCAATATGAGAATCAATATTAACAGATACTGTGGTCTGTAAACTGG